TGTGCATGACTGAGGTTTTCCCCCCTCGTCTTGGCTATGGTGTGAGTCTGTGCTGTTAATTAATGGGGTTCTGCCTTCGGAGAAGATGAGCCAGCCCTCAAGGAGGTGATTATGTAATTTGCTAGCAATTCATGTCCCTCCCGGCGTGACGCTGCGCGCTGACGTCACGGGGCTGTAATGGTGGTGTGCCTCGAGATTTTTTTCATGAAACAAGTGTGCCTTTGCCCAAAAAAGGTTGGGAAACACTGCTCTAATCTATCATACGAGAAGTGTTCAGCTGGTGTAAACACAAAACTATATTTTAGGGATCAGTAACTAAACAACAGGGACGCGGGTGGCGCTGTGGGTAAAACCTCAATGCCTAGGACTTGCCGATTGTATGGTCGGCGGTTCGAATCCCCGCGGCGGGGTGAGCTCCCGCCGTTCGGTCCCAGCTCCTGCCCACCTAGCAGTTCGAAAGCACCCTTAAAGTGCAAGTAGATAAATAGGTACCGCTTTATAGCGGGAAGGTAAATGGCGTTTCTGTGTGCGGCACTGGTGCTGGCTCACCAGTGCAGCTTCGTCACGCTGGCCACGTGACCCGGAAGTGTCTTCGGACAGCGCTGGCTCCCGGCCTCTTAAGCGAGATGAGCGCGCAACCCCAGAGACGGTCATGACTGGCCCGTATGGGCAGGGGTACCTTTACCTTTAACTAAACAACAAGGGATGCGGGTGGCGCTGTGGGTTAAACCACAGAGCCTAGGACTTGCCAATCAGAAGGTCAGCGGTTTGAATCCCAGTGACGGGGTGAGCTCCCGTTGCTCGGTCCCTGCTCCTGCCAACCTAGCAGTTCGAAAGCATGTCAAAGTGCAAGTAGATAAATAGGTACCGCTTGGGCGGGAAGGTAAACAGCGTTTCTGTGCGCTGGCCACATGACCCGGAAGCTGTACACCGGCTCCCTCGGCCAATAAAGCGAGATGAGCGCCGCAACCCCAGAGTTGGTCACGACTGGACCTAATGGTCAGGGGTCCCTTTACCTTTACCTTAACTAAACAACAATGTTAAAAATTGTTTCCTTAACACATTTTGCCATAGCAAATTGCATGGGGCTCCCTTATCTGGTTTATTTTTGTTTAAGGATAGTAAGTCTTGAGCACACATGTAAAAAAGATCTAGAAAAGTCTTCACCAATCAGGTGCTCTCCAGAGGTTTTGGAGTTTAACTCCCATCCTCCCTAACCACTGACCGTATTCTTTGGGGCTGATGGGAGCTAGATTCTAACAGCATCTGGCAAGCACTAGGTTAGTGAAGGCTGAGGCAGGAATTCCAAATGGGCAGGGGATCAGTTTCTCCCCCTGCCCTGCCAAGAAAGGGTAAAATGAATATTTTTAAAGGATGGGTGGTTTTAATACATGCTTTCATTTACCTGAAAGGAAGATATGTCACATTTTCAGACACTAAATGCCTGTATATGTTTTCTGGAGATTCCCTCAGATATATTATCTATTTTGGAAAGAGAGGAGAAAAAGGGGGGAAAACATTCATATGGTACTTTTAAGTTAACTACAAGATAATATTCTCTGCAATTCTCCCACCCACCAAAGCAAGGCATACAGTAGGACAAAGGATAGTGTGCATACAGTGATACAGAGAACTGGCTATAAAGTAACATGGCGGTCAATACAAAGCCAGAAAAAAGGCAAATAGAGCCAATAACCATTCTGCATACATAAATGCTGTTCAAGCTCCAGAAAATGTTATTGCAGTAGAATTGCAGATCAGAATTAGATTCCAGTTCAAAACATTGCTACGTTTTCTTCATGAGCCATTAGAATGCCCCAATAAATTTTCAGAACCATCAAATGGGTCAGTTTTTAAACTAACAGGATTGGCTACAGAAGACTTTGCCTGCACAGCAGTCTGGCATATAAGCAACCCAAGCCCAGTGTTATGGTTACTACTGGTACAACCGTGTTGGTACCAATTCACACAAACTGCTTTTACCAAGGAGCACAGCACCCACGTGATTTGACAACTCTGGTGGAATCCACACCATATCCACAATATATCAGCTAGGCCTGACTCTCACAACCAGCCTACACCTGCTTGCAAAGGTGAGACTCCTACCTGTACTACTTATTTTTATAGTGTGGTAAACAAATAACCTTTGGAATCGTACACCTAACTTTGCCATATAGGAAATGCAATTATTATTATTATTATTATTATTATTATTATTATTATTAATAACATATTTATTAAAATTTTCAAAAAATCCAAAAGAAAAAGAAAAAGAAAAAAGAAAACATTTACATTTAAACCTTACTTTCAATAACATCTTTCCAAGACTTCCCCACCCCTCCCCTTCTTGTATTCCATTTCCGTTTGTTTATTTCAACAAGTTCTTATCCCAAATTTTAACCTTATTGTATTTAGCCCATTATTCGATTTAATTCATTTTATATAGCCACTTTCCCCTTATAGTCCACAGTCTTTAAACATTAGAATCTTTTTCTAAGGTCGACCCCAATTCCCTTCCATGAATTCCCTTTTTTTTATACTCATAACAAAACAAAATAAAGAAAGAAGAAAAATTCAAAATATAATTGTACACCCTTTGTATTCCCAAACTCCAACCCCCCTTTCCCGGTTTCGATCCCCTATATCCATCAGTCTATCTGCTGTCAGCCTGGGGACCTCACATCCGAGGCCCTGGAAATGCAATTATTTTAAGCCTCCATCAGCACAAGACATGAACTGTGACTGTTCTCACACCGCCTATTTAATCATTATTTTAAATACTAAACAGTTTGCAATGAAAATTTATAGAACTATGCTTTATTAAAAATGAAAAAAAGAAAATACAGCATAGGCAAAGTTTGGCAACTGTACACACTTCTATCAAGTTCCACCCTCCCCAGTTTTTAATCCTTAAAACATTAAAAATGCTAGGTGATACAATTTTGCAATCAGCCTTCCTAAACAACTGTGCTCTCCTAGTAGACAAAACAAAGGATAAAATTATAGGTAAAAGATAATTCGGCAGCTGCAATTCTTGATTATCCAATTAGCATTCCCAATACAATATGGCTGTACACAAAGCAATTATCCATTGCATGGACTGAAGAGACACGTCATGTTTCAATAACACTCAAGTCCTGTTTCGATGAACAGATGCTACACAAAGTAGCACAGCTGGGTAGTTTTAGTCTCTGGAGTTACTGGTCTTAGGAGGGGACCCCTGCTTACATGGCAATCGGTATTCAGTTACTTCAAAATGTGGGGGAAATGAGCATTGTTGCACTTGGGGGCCCTCCTGCACATTCTGATTAGTAGGGCGCTGGAATCGTGTCACAACACCCTCAGTGGCTTGTACGTTCAACAGCACAAGCTATTACTGTTAATCTTGAAGGAGAGCTTTGCTGGCTATATGCACTGATGGAGTAAATAACAGGACCCCCACCCCACCCCTACAAGGGCTTGGAAATTAGAAGCACTGCACATGGAAAACTACCTTGCTTAAATTTCTTTTCAAGGGACGCAGCTTCAAATTGCTTTGAACACAATGCTGTCCTACAAACAAGTAAAAATACTATTGCAGAAATGTGTGGGTTCTTCAGGAGCTGCTTCTACGTAAAGTGGGACAGAACATCTGCTGTAAAACCTCCCAGTCTCAATTCATGTACATCTGCATCTGCTGGGTGAGAGCTCTGGACAGTAAGGCTGGGAAGTTCTGGTATACTTCGTAAGTGATAACCTATTAAAATGATGTCCTAAGAAAGATCATCTCTTCCGTAAGGATGTTGCAATGGTATAATAAGGTGAGGGTGGGGGGAATCAGTGGAAGAAAGCGCTTTTCTAATGGGGGACACATCAATTGTTAAGGTCACCACTTCCACCATGAGTTATCTGCCAGAACTGTCTCCTCACCTTGCTCTAAGACAGGGGTGAGGAATCTCCAGCCCATTGGTCCATCTTGGCCTGCCAGGTCATTTCCCTTCACAAGCCACACCCACCTATCCATCAGCTGACAACACTAGGTGGTGTCCACAGGTGTTGTGGGGCCAATCCTTCTGGGTTGTTGCTTTCCCACTGCCTTCTTTGCAGGAAATGTGTTAGTGAAGCAGACCTTTTCACCCGCCACAGTGGGCCTGTCACAGCTAAAAATTGGCTGCTGTTCCTTTAATGCTAAAAGAACTAAGTCAGCATGAGTCAGCGGTCTACAATGACTCATGCAACCTTTCACTAAATTGTACCTGTATATATAGAGTGGCCAATGTTAGTGTTGGGTGTGGGTTGGTTGGATGGTAGAAAGCTAGTTGCGTTTGGTGTGGGTAAAAGCTGTCGGTCGTGGTTGGAGAAGACGACTTTTTAAGAATAAAAGCAGCATTCTGTAAAGTACTCTTTCTTAAGGACTCTTTGTGCCAACTAGGGTCTGAGGACCAGGCAAAGGAGGCAAAGGAGGTCAGAACCTTTTTCTTTTTCAAACACTGACAGGGTCAACTGAACCAATGGATTCAAGCTACAAGAAAGGAGATTCTGACGAAACATCAGGAAGAATTTCCTGACAGTAAGAGCTGTTCCACAGGGGAAGAGACTCCCTTGGGAGGTAGTGGACTCCAGTTTTTAAGCAGAGGTTGGATGGCCATCTGTCATGGATCCTTTAGATGATATTCCTACATTGCAGGGGGTTGGACTAGATGACCCTCGGGGTCCCTTCTAACTCTACAATTCTATGATAATACGATTCTAAGTCTAATAACAACCTCCCTACCAAGCACCAAGTCCACAACCACTTATTTTCAACAGTACTTCAGCAAAACAATCTCCCAGATCATTCAATGGCCCACTGACATGAGCCTATTTAGTGTTATTACTTTCCCCAGATAGACACAAGCACGTAAAAACATTACAAATCTTCAGAACAGGTTATGTTTTTGTTTTAAATGGTTCTGGAAGCAAGTGTGCGCAAGCTTGTGAATGTATCATCAACCAATAGCTTTATTCTCTTCAAAACTCAGCGCAAGGTACCGTGCAGACAACACTAGCTGGCTGTAACCCTGGTTAAAGGATTAAGAGTGGTTCATCAGACTTCACAATCCCTGCCCCAGCCCTTCCCTGCTTCGGTGTGTATTCCTTCTGCTCACTAAATCATTGGTACAGATACCGAATCATTGCATAGGCAGGCACAGAGATTCAAGTGCAAGAGGGAAGGTCCATTCCAGATTCCTTAACCATGGTTAAGAAATGGGTAGCAGTTCATCTGCTCCTGTTGCAGGAAGTATAACTGAATTGGCATTTCTATATCCTATCATTCATGCAATATTCCGGGGGATTATAATATACAACTGATCTGAGTTAAAGTTAAAACAGTTGACTTGTGGTCAAGTGTGCGAGAGAGAAAAACCTGTGGAAGTTAAGTGCATATTTTTATTATTAGAAAAAGTAGAACTTTAAGCCCTTGTATTCTATAGATTTTGTTTTGTTTTTTTTAAATAGCAACTTTTCATCAGCTTTACAAAAGAGTGGGAAAGAAAGCATCACAGAAAGACAGAAAATAAATACATACAGCTGAAATGACTTTCCTAAGCCAAGGCACAAACATAACTCATAAACTGTTTACAATAATAACACTGTGTAAAAACAGACTACAGAAGCAACTTGCCTAGTCGGCAGAACCAGTATCCTGGCTTCCTGGCAGTGGGTTACTATTGCTTTCTGGGAGGGTTGATGTGGCGGGGAGGTCAGCGCAGTGCAAATCCACTGGTAGAACCAATCTGGCACTCCTGCCAGTGTGTTTGCACTGCACCAACCTCCCAGCTGCCTAATGCCTCTTGGTAGACAACAGCAACCCACCTGCCAGGAAGCTAGAGTAGCAGCTGCACTCTACCAAGAGACAGCTTCTGTAAACAGGTATAAAAGTGAAAAGTCACAGGAGCAGGCAAACATTGAGACCTTGCAGAGATCAAAGAAGAAGATTGCATATTATTCCTTGGGGAAATGAGACACAACCACACTGGTGAAATATGCACCCTTAGAGGGAGAGAAAACATTGTAAGGGGGAAAACCCCAGCACAGCCCAATACAGGTTTTAGAAAAGAGACAGGACACAAATACACACACGCCCGTTTGCTTAAAGATAGAGAAGGCTATGAAAGCCAACACAAGATATACAAGAAACCCTGTTGGTATCAAATCCCCATGCATTGACGTAGAAATTTTTAATTTAATTTCAGGTACTACTGGAAGTACTAATGGAAAGGTTAGATATTTGAATGTTACATCAGCAGTGGTGATTCTGCTTCGGCAGCTCCATCTAAAATAAGGTTACATCTAGAAAAGTTGGCAAACTGAACCTAGGAAGGATTAAGGGAAAAAAACAAAGAACACAAGAGGTGAAGGAAACTGCTTACCCTGAAGGAAGAAGATGAGAAAATAAAGTACACAGAGATGAGTCCTGGAGATGACCTGAATTACAGCAATTCTTGAGGGTAGGACCCAAGAAGGGTATCCCTCCAAAAGGACATAATTAGTGCCAAGCCTGAGAAAAAGAAACACTGTTACTAAGTTAATGCAGGATTTGGGATACAGAGCTGAGATGGAGGCAGGAGACAAAGGAGGAGGACAGGACACACAGGAGCTATTTCTGAATTAAAACAGACAAAGAGAGTCAGAAGAAAGGATATTAACCCGTGAAATAATAGAGGAGATCAAAAGCACCCACTTCAGAAGTAATCTCAAAGTATATTTCTATCTGCTAACAAAGAACTATAAACCTCTCTAGCTAATGCAGTTCTGCCTTTTAAGTATGAACAGGCTGGTATTTTAACTGAGCAAAACTAAAGCTATGACGTCTTATTTCACAGCACTTATCATTACTCTGCTACCAAATATTCCATGTATCAGCCTCCCTCAATGCGACGGCCTTAGGATGTTTCAGACTACAGCTCCTCTCAGTCCCAGCCATCATGATGACCAATGGTCATGGATGATGGGGGTGTTAAACATCTGAAGAGCACAAGGTCAATGAAGGTTGTCACATATCCTTTTCCAGCAGCCCACACATGCTGCTCAATTTAATATATGTCACAATTACATACAGATGATTAGTGACGAAACCTACCCAAAAATCATGTTCGAGGCACTAACAGATTGTTTAACCGCCCATTTATCATTTTGAGTTATTGCACATTATTTGAAATGCTTCTTTCTTCTGTTTCTAAAGTTCAGGTCCCCAAATAACCCAGTTTTTGATACGGTATACCACAAGAAATTCTTATTGAAAGATCCAGGAGAGCAAATGGACTGATAGGAAAAGACAAACGGAAGAAACTACATCACCTACAAACACTGAAAACATAAATGAAAATGCCATTAATGATTCATGATCTTCATGAAATGAAGGAACACCACATTCAGATTCATTTTCTGAAAACATTCTAGATACAACAGGTATGATAAACAGTTTTCTTAATTTGAGATTTTACCTTATTTGGCTTAAGGTTATATGTGGTAATTTGAATTGTAAACCCAATTTTCACTGGAGCATTCAAGGACCACTGATTTCAAGGCATGTCTAATATTTTCTCAATAACACTCTCACTATCCTTCAGTTCTATGGTTCTATGTTTATTTCCAAAATAAAACTTATGGGAATAGCACTATTTGCAGTGCTGTAGTCACTTGCATAATTATGTATTATTCTTAGATGTATCTGAAATCAACAGCCCCAGAGTAACATATAAAAATGCATTTAATACATTCATGCAGGGGTATGTCAAATATGTCATTTCTTTTTTTGAAGGGGGGATGTCAAGGTATCAGAAGGTTAATACAACCACCTACAAAACATTGAAAAACAACAACAAATATTTTATTGTAACTCCTTTTACCATTAGAGAGTATACTTGAAAGCATTAACATTCTGGTGATAATAAATAGATAATTCTACAGTGTTTGTTCATTTATTAAATTTCTATTCAATTACTATTATTTTCATACAGCTGCAGTCATAGAAATCAATAATAGGAAGACAGTAAAACTTGCCATATTGAGAACTGTCAAATTCTCTGTGCATAAAGGACACCACACATGTCTAGAAGAACAGCCACAACAACTAGACAATTAGCACAACAGATTTACTACTTTCTGGTTAAAATCCCAGTCCCACTGAAAATGTTCAAGTTGTCCTCTATAAACATCAGGCAAAAGTTTAAAGCCAAACAGTGAAAACAGCTTAGGAATACAAAGCTCCACTAGGTAGCAGTGATTCAGCACTAAAACGACACATTTCTTACATTAAATACAAATGCTACTCCTTCCTGAATTTGTTATAATTACTCCCACAAAATGGAAACACTGAGAATGCTTCCATATGACAGGGCAAGCCACGAAAGCACTGGCTCTTGTATTTTCTGTATTATTATTATTAAGAACAGTGAGCTAATTTTCAGTAGCTGATAAAGAATCTCTCCCTTTAAGTGTTGGGCTAGTTTTGGCAGCAACAACAACTGCTGCTTTAAGAAGTACAGAAAAGCATTGCTGCTGTCACTTAATTTAAAGGACAGAACTTTATTGATAAATGCATGTAGTGTAATTAGCTAGTTAACAGATACGTATTTTCATATGAATTAGGGGAGTTGTTCAACATGTGATCGTTCCAACAGGGCAAGCAATTCAGTTTGCCAGGCTGAATGGTCCCCCTCTCCTCCCCCTACACACCGTTCTGGGGGTTCTTCCAAGCTCCCTGAGCCAATTTTGGGGGACATGAGAGAGAAGGAGAAAGAGGAAAGGCTTCTACTTACATGACTCATAAATTGAATCCTGCCCAAAGAAAACAACCTTTTTGTTTTGATTTGTTTTGTCTTAGATGGTGTACGTATGTGCTGCAGCAGAAATCACCAAAGGAATCAAGAAGGAATACCTCTTTTTTTAATTACACCTGCTATTTAAAGCTTTTATATTAATTAACATTAAAAAAGTGTTGCCATTAATTGAAGACACATTTTTAATTAGTCAAAATGTGTTTAGCAAATGATCTAACCAATTGACCAAACATTTAAGAAATCTAAAGGCAAATAAAAGCAAAGAATCACATGGGGAAACTATGTTCAAGAATAAAATATAGCAGGCACCCCCAAACTCAGCCCTCCAGATCTTTTTGGGACTACAATTCCCATCATCCCTGACTATTGGTCCTGTTAGCTAGGGATGATGGGCGTTGTAGTCCCAAAACATCTGGAGGGCTGAGTTTGGGGATGCCTGCAATATAGCAATTGCAAGGATAGCTCTGGAAGGAGAAGACCACACATACAGTTGCATTCACACACCCTTCTAGCTCTAACTTCTCCTGCTTTGTGATAATTTTGCTTTGTGATAAATGCACCAGTGCAGGCAGGGTCTGCTGCTGTAAGTTGGACAGGACAAATCAAGAACCATATCCATGCCAACGTGTGATCATTGCTTAAGAGGGTATGAATAGTGCAGCTCTTTGGATGGAAATCTTGCTCAAGCTGAACTTCCACTCAGCTGGAGAAGAATTCTGGACACACCATGCGACTTTCAGAAACTGCAAACCAAGCCACACTGTACAGAGCAGCTTATATCCCTTTGAAGATTGGAGAAAGAAGGATCCAAAACATATTGTCTACAAAAGGTATCTTCGGTATGAAAAAAAGTAAAGTTACAATTCAATAAGCTTTTAAAGCAATTTAAGCTTTCATATCAGAAGGAGAATTATTGTTGAGAAAAATTATTTTCCAACTTTCTACCTTCAGCACAGAACTTTTTTGAGATTGGCATGCCCATTTAAGCAGTTCGGCACATTGCAATGGATTCTAGAGTACGCTGTAGAGAAGGAAGTTGTCCCCAACCTGGTGCCTCCTCCTTACGTTTTGGACTAAAAGTACAGCCCACACAAATAACTTGCTCTCTACCCCAGGGGTGGATAACATTCTTCAGCCTAACAGCTGGAGTCCCTTGTGGAAAATCTTTTGTGATGGGCAGGGTCAGAGGAAAAAGTGTGGTCCATTCCATCCATGCAAAACTCAGAGAGTTCAACCCTCATTTCCCCTCCCTTCATCCAAGCAAGCAAGAAAGAGGCCTGGTTACACAGTTCAAGTTCATATTCCGGACTTGAGGAGCATGTACAGCAGTGCCAATAATGGGTGTGGCCTGGGGAAGAGGGAGAGCGCATGGTTCCAAGGGCCAGAGAGGCATAGAGGGCCACATTTAGTCCCAAGTCTGAAGCTCCCCATGCCTGCTGTACCCATTGCTGGACCTCTGTGGTTACTTGAAGGAAATGTACTTTCCACATACAAATCTTAACTGAATCATATACTAGAAATTACACTAAGGCTGCAATTCTCAGCACATTTACTTGAATGTGAACACCATGCTGATCAGCAAGACTTATTTCAAAGAAAGCATGTTTAGGATGGGAGCGTTAATGTGAAATGTACCATTCTTTTCCAGAAATATCATCTGTGAGAGAAAGCTCACCCCTCACCCTGGAAGTGCACATTGCCCCTTCTGTGCCACTGCGCCCATGTGCCAGGAGGTAATGATTGGCTCACTGATGTACCCCTTCGTGTCCAAGGAAACCCAGGATTTCCTTGAACAGAGTTTGGTTTATTACATGGTTCCCATTCTTTTCCCTTCATTAATACTGATGCATATGGGATTACGCTTTCTGTCATTCAGGGTTTATTCTAGAAGGATGCTGTGGTCTGGTGCCATGGATATGTGTCAAAGCTATTCCGCCTTCCCAAGTCTACACCTGTGTGCTTTGTGGGTTATGCTTTTCGTTATGCTCACTTTACGTTTTTGTATTTGAAATGTGCCAACAAAAATAAATTAAAAGTAAAAACACAACTATTCCTCACGGGCATGGTTTGTCCTCCATTGTATTTTAACACTGCTCCCTCAAACTAGCCCCACTTAATTCCCAGTTGTCCCAATTCAATTAATGTTTTAAAAAGTCTTTCATCTTCTTTGAAACTTCAAAACCCTGGACTGTTTATAATAGGGTATAACTAGATCTACCAGTGGGCCTGATCAGTGTTTTTTTTCCTGGGGGTACTCAAATGTACACACTACTGGCACCTTTTTTTCTAGAAAAAAAGAACTGGGCCTGACCCTCATCTTCCTCACAACCCCGCTTGTCAGGTTGACGTCCCTGACTCATCTGCCAATCACCTGACATCACAATGACCATCAGGTGACTAGTTTTTGCATTGATCTGTGCATGGAAGCGAGGACAGATCAGCTGAGCACTGGGGCTTGCAAAGAGGCTTTGTAGGTCCAGCGACATCTCCACCTGTCTCACACGGTATCATATATGACATCTGGTTTAGAAAGGCAGGTGAGCTTGCCAAAATGGTCTGGCAATAAATAAATCCATATATCTAGTAATAAGAGTAACAGCAGCAACAAGTGAGGGGGAAATGGGGAAAGAAAATGGGCTTAGGGATAAAACCGTAAAGCAGTTTTATCCTATGAATGCATTCCTTTTCCTAAACTGGGGGCAAAAGGACATGAACCACAAGTTACTTGATCACTAGACATGAGGGGGCAGGGACGACACAGGCTTGTGGGTCTTTGACAGTTTAAAGTTAAACATTAGAATACTTACTGCGTAACAGCCTATGAGGAAGGCTGCGTTGACTTGCTTTTTCTGATCAAAGCCAGTATAATGAACAATCTTCTTTCTTAACATGGTAAAGGACTGTACCAAAGAAATAAACAATGGAGTTATAATCCAACTCCTTGCATTATAAAAAGTTGTATTTGAATCATATTTAAGTAGTAAGCACACATAGAAAACAGCCTCATTTGGTAACACGTAGTTACAGTGTTACATTTCATTTAAGACATAATTCAAATAATTACTTCTTTGTCAAAGCCTTTCTACAACAAAGAGGGACATTGGGACCCAGCATACATAGTAATGAAGGTTGAAAATGGTAAGAAGAAGAAAATTAAATGAGCTAGAAGATCAAATATCCAAAGCTAAAATATAATTTAATGAAACAATTCTGAAGTCCACAATATAACATAAGTGTTTGAGTCAGGAACAAAAGAGCTTGTGTAAACATGAGGTTATTATGAGAAGCAATTTCCTCAACTTTGCTGTTTTAAAGGGTCTTTTGTAAACTTTAATTGTACCAGACAATGTGAAATTTATTTACACACCTCAGAGATTCATTAGTCATTTATAGAAGAGCAATAAAAATACACACCCTAACATAAATTTGAACCTATAGTGCTGTCCTTCTCTAGACATGCTCTTATAAACCTCTAGCTCCTGAGCACACAGCTTCCCTGTTCACTGAAAAATAATTACTACAAGGCTACATTCACACCATACTTTTAAAGCACTGCGATACCACTTTAAACTATCATGGCTTTCCCCAAAGAAACCTGGGATGCGAATGGTGCAATGACTGTTAAAAGTGTTTTCACAGCACTTTAAATGTATGGTGTTAATGTAGCCCAAGCAGAGTAATTGGAATGTGTAATTGGAATGTGAAGATCCAAGAGTAATCCCATAACCAGCTCCTCCACATAATACTTCAAATTCCAAACTTACAATTTATCAGATCTCCACAGCAAACATCACTTTTAAGTCTTGCAGCTGTGTGTAACTGCTGAGTCACAAACTTCAGTTTTCACTGTTTAACTTTGCAACCGCATTTCAAAGGCTGAATGAAAATGTATTTGCAGCTTCTGGTTTTTTTTTATTCTGCAATGTCTTCCCAATAGGCATTTCCCCCCATCTACTATCAGAAATTCTTGCACTAAATAACTTGAAAAAATGTGGGAAAGCCTAGAAAATAGTATGACTTGTTTGACTAGACGAGCCATTTCTTCAGCATGCTGGCTGTCCCAAGATCCCTCACACTACTACATAGTACAGTTGTAAGGCTTAATTGCCATTATATACTACTAGTTCTATAAAACACCCAAGGGTATTATTTTTGTAAAAACTTGAAAATAACAGATTGCCTTGTACACTGTTCCATCTGATCATAAAGGAAAAAGAAAACAGATTACAAGCTTGTGGTGTCTACCGATCTGTAGCAGGGAGGAACAGCAACTAGATGTATTTAACCTTCACAGAATCTATGATTTACTTCTTCTAGTTATCTGTTCCAACATTACAGCAGAGGTGGAGTTTGGGGAGTTGGTTTCCTAATTATTTTAAAGGGGAGGCCACAGCCTACCTCTGGGGGTCTTAGCGGGGTAATCCAAGAAGCGCTTCTGCTAGGACTTTTGGCTGTGCAACATAATTTTCCCTCCCCTCCTTTCCTCACACACCTCCTAAATTTGCTCTGGGTCCCCCCTCCCCAACTCTCTGAAACATATTTGGGGAGACAGAGCACAGGATGCACAGGGAGAGTTGAGTGTGGGGAATATTCCATTACGTAAGTAATTTTCAATTTTATATTGATCAAAAGATTAAATATCATGCCGCTGAATAGACTAGGGCAGAGAGCCTCAGAGCTTTTGTCATATGTTTTTATTTGGCTTGCCTCTTGCCCAGGGTGCGTAATGCTGAATGGTGGTGCACAAGGAGCGACAAACTGATCCCTTGTGTGGGTGCCGCATGTCATCTATGGGGGTCCTATATTTGACTTAGGTTAGAATCCCACCCATTTCGTTACAGTACAAGATACATTTTCCTTAAAATGTTAAAAACAACAGGGTATGTTTATTATATGTTTATTATTTATAGGGACGCGGGTGGCGCTGTGGGTAAAAGCCTCAGCGCCTAGGGCTTGCCGGTTGAAAGGTCGGCGGTTCGAATCCCCGCGACGGGGTGCGCTCCCGTTGCTCAGTCCCAGCGCCTGCCAACCTAGCAGTTCGAAAGCACCCCTGGGTGCAAGTAGATAAATAGGGACCGCTTACTGGCGGGAAGGTAAACGGCGTTCCGTGTGCTTGCCAGATGCAGCTTTGTCACGCTGGCCACATGACCCGGAAGTGTCTCCGGACAGCGCTGGCCCCCGGCCTCTTGAGTGAGATGGGCACACAACCCCAGAGTCTGTCAAGACTGGCCCGTATGGGCAGGGGTACCTTTACCTTTACCTATGTTTATTATAAAGAACCAGTATTTTAATCGTCAAGAGGTGCTGGCAAGCATTGTTAAGATTTTATTTTTTTAATGAAAAAGATAAAACCAACTGAAATACATATTATCTTCAGACACTGGCAGGTTGCCAGAAACAAGGAATTCCTTGGGGGAGGGGGCACTTCCACTCCAAATAGTGTTTCCTTGTAAGTTTATTTTGTCTGTGATACCACGAGGACTTTTAAGTTCCATGGTTTTCAGCTTCTTGCCTTCGGCCTTTATCCATTAACCACAGAATGAATTCCCTGTTATTTGTACTCCAAAATAAAAGCAGGCAAGTTCTACCACATTATTCTTCCCCACCCTTTTGCCAAACACAAACACACACACACACCACTCTCTGGACTGCACTACCTATATGAACACCAACCTAAATCCCTATCGCTTTAGATATTTTCTGCCAGTGATTATAAAGTAGTAAAAACAGTGCACACATGAACTTCAAGTGAATAATGTTCACTCCCAGCAACATTTTATAAAGGAACATAATAACATACAAACCATTGAGTACAAATTCATTTTTACCTTCAATTTTTTATTTAGCTTGCAACAGTATCTGTAAATCATTGCCAGATTGAGTGGGCCAAAATCTGCATAGAAACTTGGGGAAAGGGGGCGGGTGGGTAAGAGAAGAGGTGAAGAAGAAAAAAAGTTCGCTTAAACTGAAATACTTCGGTTGAAATGGCTGTTCAAAAGAACCACATCCCTCCTCAACTCTGCCAGCACTGCCCACATAAGCAGGCATTATAGCTGACATACCACTTATTCAGATTCACTTCTAGATTACTGTTCGAATACGTTGCAATTATCGGTGGAAAAACAATTATGTAACCCTCATACATATTGTAAAACAGCTCTGCTGGATTACAATGTCAGTGTGTGTTGAAACAATTTGGGAATTTTCTCTAAAACAATTTGCAGACATTGTTTTTAGAAAAGTCAGTCCGAAAGGTAACAATGCAGAAATTACAAAAGCTTGTTAGCACCCTGTTAAAACCCTTCAAAACCTTTCAGCTGCAAATTAAAACATATACTGAAGGTGACAAGAACTGAATAAGGTGGAAGCTGCCCACTGGATCTCTGAATGATTCTTATTCTGTCCTTGCCTCCTACCAATCAGCCTCTGCTGTGGGTGTTTAATTCAGGAATATCTACCAAAGGCAACCCACAAAGGATGCTGCCTGTTTCTTGCTGAACAAGTCTCTGATCTGAGCCTGTCTTCTTTCAGAAAACAGGATGATTGCAATGACGTAGCAAAGATACAGAATCTTGATTAAGCAGTTTATACTGGCTACACACAGTTTTCCCTCAAACTATGGCCTATTCAGGTGATCCACAGAAAGGCTGATGAACAGTTGAGACCATCTGTTCTTGTATCTGCATGACTGCTTTTTTTTTAAACAAGGGAAACTGAAATTGTTTTCATGAAGACCATATTATAAAAAGCAAGCTAACAAGGACCCGACTTATGGTCCACGGACAACAAATTTCATACTATGGCACTGGCAACATCTACAATCGTTTTCTGATATGTACCAGTTAAAGGCTATTTAAAATACGATCTATATATGTTTTGAAAGCCTGTTTGGTGTAGTGGCTAGGGTGCTGGACTAGGACCTGGAAACCAGGGTTCAAATCTCCACTCAGCCAGTATGTTTACTGGGACTCCCACTCTAATCTACTTCACAGGGTTGCTGTGAGGAGAAATTGAGATGAGAACTCTGTGTGTGTGTGTGTGTGTGTG